GTGGAGATTTAAACCTGGAGCATCACCTTTTTTTTAAATATGTATCGTCTAGAATTTTTACTCTAGAGAAGAACTTAAAGTCTAAAGTAGTCTGTGTACCTACAGTTTTCAATATTATTTCAACCCAGGCACTTTAATTTTTTCTGTCTTGATTTTAAATCAGAAATATCAAACATCAGCTTCAGCTTTTTCTAAAATTCTAAGATTGCTATAGCCATGGGTGAAATACTATTGAGAACTCTAGCAGTAGAAACCTTTTCTGTGGGTGAGCTTTATTGGTGAGCTTTATTGGTGTTATATCACAGGAAAGGTAGATCAAGGAAGATGGAGGGGGGCAAGGAGAGAGGGAGAGAGAGAGACAGAGAGAGAGAAAGAGAAAATGAAAGACAAGAAAGCTGTGAAGGACAAAGTAAACTTGAAAAAAAAGCCAAAGAACGAAATCGTTGCAAAGAGAAAAACAAGAAGAAATGGGGAAGCTTGAACAGGTACAAGAGGCAACTGGAAGGGTGACAAAAAGACAAGGCAAAAGTAATTGTGAAAAGTGAGGGAACTGGAAGATCAGTGAGAACAAGACAAACAAAGAAGATGTAATATGGATGAAGCAAGATGAAATAAGGATCCATGGGCCATTTTATTTCTTCTTTGCATTAAGTTTGACATGTTTTGTTAAAAATGTACAATAACACTATAATCAGAATTCTGGTTTTTGTCCTGCGCTCACCAGAATGTTTCTAGGAACTGGAGACCGCAATGACTTATACTTATTTTATCTTACATGCAATTAAGTCTGTGATGCAAACTGGTTCAGGCCAGGAAATTGCAAATCAGGACTGATATTCTATGCTTAACACACCCCATAGGCAACCTAAATACATAAAAGAAATGCTTAAAGAGCAATGTCAACCTTAATTTTCGATTGCCTCGCTTCTGACAGTTTGTTAAATATGTATTTTAATTATTTAAAAAACACTTATGTACACATTTATACAGAACAGTTCTGATGTAGCTCTTCAACCCATCATTTCAAGCCACATTAATATATCTTAAACTGTTTGTAATATGTCTATTAGCTAAATAATGTATTTAGACCATTTTTAAATGTACACTTTGACTCATACTTTTTAAGACAATGCAGCTTGATGGGTAAAAATGAAACATATTTATATTATTTTTAAATAAAAAAACACCAGGACCAAATTCTGCAGTTTTTTCCAGTACTCTGTCATGTAAAATTCCCACTATGGCAGATTTGATTTCTGTGAGTTTTTCCTGAATAAAGAATGAGTAAGGACTGTATAAATAAGATAAGCAGCATTTGGCTCTATAATTATCTAAATTGTTTGGTAGGGTTCCTTATGGCAGTTATGTTCTATCCTATCAAAAGTACCCTTCTTGTCAAAATTTAGTATCTGAGGCACTTCAAATCCTTAATTTTTAGAACAGTGAAAGCAATATATAGGATATTAGTTCACCAAGTCTAACTTATTTTACATTAAACTTGTGCTGGGTGATTGAAAGTGGATTTTTTTTTAATTAAAAAAAATTTGGTTTAATGGCTGGTCTATTTATGCCAAGATTAAGTTTAGAATGATATTTATTTGCCCTGTTATTAGCTTCTGAGATCATACATTACTATCATTTAGTGGTTTACTCAGCCATTGAAACACCAGCTCCTGAAGAAAGTAACTCTTTATATATTTTATCCAAATTAAGAACCCAGTCCTCCTTCCAATTAATCCAATGAGCTTAAACTTGCTTCCCTTATTCAGTCAGATAGTCCCACTGAAGTCACTGAGCCAGGCTCTGAGATCCTTTTTCAGGCATAATTCTCACTGAAGTCAATGAAGTAAGTATTGAGTAAAATCTGAGGTTCCCAATTATAGTCCTTCACCCATGTATCACAGCCTTTCCAAGCATAATGAGGGGGCTCAGCCACCTCTGCAGCAGTGATCCTACTTATCTCAGAGCCTATGGAGTGCTTTTGATGGGTTCAGAGTTCCATGCAGAAAGAGAAAGCAAGAATGGATGGGGATGAGGAAAGAGTGGTCAGGCCACGAATACCATCCACACATCAGCCCTAAGAAGATCATGGTAGAAAGACCATTCTACTAAGCCCCCTGCATGATGGTGATCTCCTTTTAAGTGTGGCTTCTTGGGCAGCTGCCAACTGCAGAAACACTAAACATTCTGTTCTAAGGGAGCTATGTTGCTGAGATAGGGAAAGGGCCACCAGTGCACAGAGCTGGAATGAAAGCACAGGGCCTCTGTGCAGCTGGTCCCAACCTCCGGCTGATTACCTGGGATCCATATGGGCTGGAGAATCAGGCTTTCTGCTTACTCCACATAAGGATGGTGAGTAATCCCACCAGTTTACTGATATCTTTGAGGAGAACTGTGCAGGTACTTTCTTCTCTTTAAACACTAGCTGATGGGGCACAACAATCAGACCCTGAATAAGGACTTCAGGCTTTGGCCTATTATGATTTCCAGTACGAAAAAAAATATTGTACAATCATCAGAAATGGCACCATGAAAAGATAACTCAAAATATATTCGTCTTGCCTGAGGGTGGTAATGTTGGTGGGGAAACACTAATAGAAACAACAAAACTCACAAGAAGTGTCAAATGGAGTATCTGCAAAAATAAGTAATTAATTTTCTTTATTAGTTTGTTTGTTCTATTAATTATTATTTCTTTTGAAGTACCGTGGTAACAAATATTCAAAAGCATAGTCAGACCTTTAAAGTAAATTGCATTGGTTAGAGGAACTGAATTTTGTTAATAACTGAAAAAGAGAAGGTAATTAAAAAGGTTTCTTGTGGTTTGGAAATGCCTTCCAAATATTCATTAAACATTTAAGCGACTAAATTTGCAGAATATGTTCCTGACATTGGCACTGGTTCTGTGGTATTTCTCTCATCACATGGAAATACTGTGTGTTATGCAGAGTGCATTCATGCATAAACAATATAATTTTCATAAATTAAAACCTCCCCTGCAGAAGGAACATCTGTGCCTGCCTTTGAATAAAAGATGGTGGTAAGTGAGTTGCCCCTTGACTGACTAGAAGAATCCTTATGTTTAAGAAGAAGACATATAACCAAAAGGCATGCAAACCTAGGTCAGATTTTTTAAATTTTGTCTTAGAAATTGTCATTCAGTGTTTCTCCTTAGGTTATTCAGGAGTATATTTAGCTACCTTTGCTGTCTAGAAAAGAGCAATGGAGTAATTGAAAAGTTGTTCTCTAATGATTGTTTTTCTTTTTCTTTTTCACTCAGCAACAGTTTCTAGACTGCAGAGCAACACACTTTATCCAACTACAGCCAAATGAAATCAAGCTAATGCAAAGTGAATCAGCTAGCCTAGCAATTAACTTTCAATGTGTTTGTTTTTAGGCCAAAAGACTGGCAATAAACACATTGCAAATTTTAATATGGTTTTGGTTCTTTGATTTTTGTTTTTACAATAAAGCACCTTTTGAAATAGAAGATAATAATATGATCTGCTATGTGACCTTGGGCAAGTCACTTGACTTCTTTAGGGGGGAGGGATAGCCCAGTGGTTTGAGCATTGGCCTCCTAAACATGAGGTTGTGAGTTCAATCCTTGAGGGGGGCATTTAGGGAACTGGGGTAAAAATTGGTCTGGGGATTGGTTCTTCTTTGAGCAGGGGGTTGGACTAGATGACCTCCTGAGGTCCCTCCCAACCCTGATATTCTATGATCAGACCTGCAAAGTTTTGCTCATTCATTTGGGGTTCGTTTTAAGGCACTTTATAAAGTATCTCCCACTTGTGATGAAGGACTTTGTACAATGTGTTTCAAGGAGAAGTTTTAAGGTCACTCATTTCATTTGCACCAGTCTGTGATAGACCTGTTGATAATTTCATTTCTAGATTGTTCATGGCCATTAGATTATTCAGATTTCCTGGGCAATTTGTGTCTGTAGGTTTCTACAGCCCCAGAAGGCCACTGAAGATTAAAAATTAAAGGACCACATGTTTCATGTCTCGAAAGAAGGGGAACAGTGCCTAGTGAATTGGTAGTGTCAGAATCATGGCCTTGGTTAGAGAAAAAAAACCCTGTGCAGCTGCTAAGGAGAAGAATGAAAGCACTGCTGAGGGATGGGGAGAAGGGATGGTGCCAAAATACTATTCTCCAGATACTTCATTCTTAGCCACCACCTCTATGGCGGAGGTGAGCGCCAAGACTTTTCAGAATGGAGCGAGCAATTAGTTCTAGCGACTTCTGAGCTGGGACCAAACTCAGGAATGGTTCAAGAGAGGTACAGCCTCTAAGAGGCGGAGTCCTGGGGAGCCAATCCTAGGCTAGTACCTGCTGCCGGGAAAAGACTCTGGCTGAGAAACAATCTCATGAACAAATAGTTGGATCTTAAATGGTCAATTCTTCCTATATTGTGGGCAAACAACTTTGGATAACTCGCTTTTTATGTACCACTTAGGGAATCCTTAATGAGTCAGAATTAATCCTTTAATGACCGGTTCGCTTTAACTACGTTAGTGATTGCTGAATCACTTTCTATTCGAAAATAATGGCTAAAATGTATACTTTCCCACAGTGCTCTCACTGAGCACCAGGACAATTTGCAAGTATTAAAAATCAAGAGAAGATGGAGACACGAAGACGCTTCCTGAAGTTTAAAGAAATCCATTCCAACTCTCAGCCCTGCTGTGCTGTGACAAGGATTAAAAAATCGAGAGTAGAGGCAAATTTTGCAAGTTCTTGGTAGCCCACAAATGTTAACACTTTTGTCTTTTTTTTAATGAGACGGGTCACATCAGTCACAAAGAGTACACAAAAGTCAAAACCAGCAACCTGAAGCTGAAAACTCAAATTCAGCCGTCTCCATATTACTCACAAATTTGTACTACATTTCTATTTACATCCTTTGAAATTAAACAGACCAACAATACAAAATAATGTAGTTTTGCACTAAACAAAACAAAACAAAAAATAAAAACAAAGAAAGAATCCAGTCCTTTGTTTTTGAGTCCGTTTTATTCTACAAATAATAAATGTTGCATCTTTCATGAGCTATCCAAGTAAAACAATAATCCCATAGGAATTACTTACACTAAGAAAAAAATCACATATAAAGAGAAATGCAACATTCGATCAAATGTCCAATACTATGTTGTTGCAAATGGATGGATGTTTCTAAAATCCCAGTGTGCATTACATCATAATATACAGGATTACAAACAAAATTACAGTACAGATTGATTCCAGTTGAACCAGCATTACATTTCAGACAGCACTTATTCTGGACTGCATTGTACATGCAATAGCTATTGTTCTAATTACGGGTTAAATGGTTTGAATTTGTTTTAAGCTACTGTACTAATTGACTACAATAGGTATATAGCCCAACATTAACTCCTGATTAGTTTTAGGCTCCAATTCATAAGAGTATGTGACAAACCACCGATTGTGTGAATATGTATAAAATCATGCATTTATATTGTCTGGAAACGTTACTATTTTCAAGTTCTCTTCAAAATTACGGGATGCAAAGGGGTTCAAAGACTAAAAAGAAACAGTGCAAATTGTATGTGATAGTCAAGCAGCTTTTGATTATAGAAGGGTGTTGGCATTTGCTTATAATATTTATATACAAGTTTGTGCAAGTAATGTGTTGGATTGATATGTTCTAATAGAAAATAAGTATTTCGTTCTTCTATCCTCTCAAGAATTAGGGATCTGGTTCTAATTGTAACGGGGGAAATAATTTCATGGGGAAAAAATTGCCAGGACTGTGCATTTTGTTAACGATTTGAAAAGAAAGAAGTGCTAAGGCAACATAACTTTTCTAAGCACTTTTCTGCTGGTTTAAATTAGTTAAATTATTTTGTATAAATTAGATATAATTCTACTTTTCCGATATGTATAAAAATTGATGAAGCTGCATGGTTTAAAATAGGAAATCCACGTTATAAAAAGTCATTAAAAATTCTGTACAAAATCACAACAAAATAATTCAGCATGGGAAAGGTAACAAGTAGTAAAATGTTGGTTGAAAAATATAGATTTATATATATTTTGTAATTGGCCCATTACTAGTTTAAAAATTGCATAGATCCTAATTATTGCTTGTGATTTTGTTATCCCGATCAGATAATTAAAACGATCTGAATACCCCTACACCAAATTTACAGTGTAGTTTTCAAGAGCTTTTAGAAAATAATACAGAAGGTGAACAGGAACTTTGCATCCCAGTTTCACCTAAAGGCAGAAACGACAATAAATACATATATCACTTGAATCTTGGAGTATTTGCACTTCGTAGCAGTGGTACCCAAAGGGCTGCCCTTTGTAAACAAGTCAGTCACTGTACGCACAGTCGATTTGTTTCCTTCTCTGTCATGACGCTGATGCGCCTTGAAGGGTTAATCGTGAAAGATGGCATTGAGCTGGGCACTCATGACTCGTTCGTGATGGGAATGGCTCTCATAGGGCATAATGTTGTCTATGGGGATCTCACAGCGAGAGGCAGAGCCAGAGAAGATTGATCCGTGGCCTGAGGCTCCTGCCAGAGTAGCTGCGGGATAGTGCATGGTAAAGGCATAATTTTTATCAAACTCGTTGGAAGGTTCATGTTTGAAAGAGAAGTTTCCATTGATGCTGAGGGGCGGGCTGAGGGGTCCGTCAAAGGAAGGGCTGGTGCAATCAGTGAGGGTGCTTTCAAAAAATGGCTCCAGAGCAGCCCCAAACGAGTGCGGAGGCTTCACGTGGAAGATATGGGAGCTGTCCATGGTGCCATAGGGCGGACTGGGAAGACCCGGGGACTGGTAGGCGTAAGGGTGCACTGGGAAGGAAGCACTGGCCGGCTGCATATGGGGCGGCATGTCTTGGTTCTGCTCGGGAAGGAAAGTCCTGGGGTTGAGCTGGAGGCAGCCGGCTACTAAATTGGTAGTGGGTTGGGACAAGCCCTTGCACAGGGTCTGTACAAATGAAACGAGGTCCGGGCTCTTGCCGGAGCGCAGGATCTCGGAGAGCGCCCAGATATAGTTCTTAGCCAAGCGCAGGGTCTCGATCTTGGAGAGTTTCTGCGTCTTGGAGTAACAGGGCACCACCTTGCGCAAGTTGTCTAGAGCCGCGTTCAGCCCGTGCATGCGATTCCGCTCCCGGGCATTAGCCTTCATGCGCCTCAGCTTGAACCTCTCCATGCGCGCCTTAGTCATCTTCTTCTTCTTGGGACCCCGTCTTTTAGGCTTTTGATCATCGTCTTCTTCCTCTTCCTCTTCTTCCTCCTCTTCCTCTAAGTCGTCGTCTTCATCCTCCTCCTCGCCGTTTCTCAGCGAGTCCTCTTCGGTCTCGGCTTGCATGGCTTCGAGATCCTCCTCCTTCTTATCCACCTCGTGTTCCTCGTCCTGAGAGCTGAGGCACTCATCAGTCCAGCTCGGGGGACCCTGGGGCTGGGGCTCCCCCATCAGCCCGCTCTCGCTGTACGATTTGGTCATTTTTGAAGTCCTGCATTTAAGAGGGGACAAAAAGAGAAGAAACACTTTAAACAGAAGAAACACAACCCTCCTCCCACAGCCCTCCCTCTCTCTTTCCATATATACAAAATATGTGTGTGTGTGTGTGTGTGTACAAAGGCATTATGTTTTCCCCAAAATAAGACATTAAACTTTTAATTGTGCCTGCGCTTCTCGCTTATAATTGATGTATTTATGTCCCAATGCCATTATGTAACTTGCTAATATTAGCGGGGAATATAAATTGATGATGCAGAAGAAAATGTGATTGACACAGTCGGAGTACGTGAAGCAGTTTTGTGAATGTTTGCAGATTCTACGGGGAAAAGTTGTAAACAAAGATCCAGTAATCACAGGTTTTATTCATTTTCTTGCTCTCCTTTTCTTCCCACCGCCTCCCTATAGTAGCTACAACTTCCCCCCCCCCCCCAGCCCCCCGCGTACTATAGCCAGAATGCAACCTCCAGAACTGTTCAGAGCCAAGCAAGGCTCAGCTCTCCAGATGGGGGATCAGGTGTGACACTTTCTCTAAAAAACTGTCCACCTGAAAACTACTTGTTCCCTCCATTTCAGGATTCTCAAAGTTCTGCTGAACCCTTTCACAAAAAGGTGAAAACAAGTATCATTCGCAGAACGGCAGTGCTCCATGCTGGCAAAGTCTCTGCTGAGGTGAATACAAGGGCTTCAGTGCAAGAGCTGAATTAGTGCATTGCTGTGAGTGGCGTCTGAAGCCTTTGGTATCTCCGACACTGTAACAGGTAGCAGCTCTTGCAGTTCCTTCTCGCTTTTCTCTCTCCTCTCCAAACTCTTCGCCACTTACCTACCTCCAAGCCCGATTTACACTACAGCAGCTTTACCATAAATTGCAGCAGTATTTCTTCCAACGTCTTCTCCCAACAACCCTTTCTGCGTATGGGAAATAATACCCTTCTCATTCAAACCTTTGGACCATCAATTCCATTCTATAATTAACTCGCCGTATTCCCTCTGTCCCTCACCCCCCCCCCCCCAAATATAAGTGGTAAATTACAAAATAGACAGAAAACAATGATATTCAGACCAAATGTACACTGGGGTTTGAGGAAGAGGAGGAGTACTAGCTAAATATGTGAAAAAGTTAATCGGGGGTGGGGGTTAAACCCCCGGCTCCCATAATCGCAACCTGTGGAAATAATGTCTTAGAATGAAACACACTGAGATACTGGGGCATTAAACTGTTTCCGTTGTAGGCAGATTAAAAACTACATTAAACACTCACACATTGTATATCTCTAGCTAGATACAGCTGCAGGTATCTGTGCTGAAATTCTGTTTCGGAGGAGGAAATCGGGGGTTATAATTACCTTCTTTTTTTTAATGTCTCCTTTGCAGCGATGGTCTCATAACCCTGTTACTCCTGGAGAGCTCTCTTGTATGAGGGTGTTTTCTCTTTTTTCTAGGGGCTGGGTGCAGGGCGCGCAGGTTATATAGCGGGGCCAGTGATGCTAAAGGAGAGGGAGGGGTAAAGGGGATCTAGGCGCTCCCCCTTAATAGCCTATAGCGCCTGCGCCCCTGGTGCTGCCTGGTAAACCCCTCCTCCCTCCTCTTTCCCCTCCTCTCTCAGCTTTCCCCGGCACGCGCCATATGGTAGTCCACGTCAAGCAAAGGGTCCGGGCTTCTCACGTGACCTGCCCATTTGTATTCAGCGGAGCTCTCGATTCCATCCCTTTGTGGCCAAAAGAAAGTGGCCATCTGTCGCCAGTGAGAGACTCTGCGGACCTGTTTGTACCCGCAGGAGAGATTAACCCTTTCGCCGCTGGGGAGGGGAGCACTTTCCTGGCGCTGCTGTTGTTGCTCTGGGATTTGTGTGTTGTTTTTTAAGAGAAGAAATTTCCAGTAGAGTTGGTTAGCAGGGACGGGGAACCGATCCACTGAGGTTTCAGCATGTACATATCCTCTTTTCACGGTAATTGTTACTATCTCCTAGTCTGGTGTCTTCTCTCTCACTCCTCACCTCTGCCCCGAGAGTGGGCGTTTGCAATTTCTCCACTTTCCCAATGAAGGCACCTTTTAGCATTTTCCTCCCGTAGTGTATTTGTTTTCCTCACTGGAAACACAGCTGAGCAACTTTTAAAGATCTTTTAGACATTAAATGTCAATTATTGCAATGTCACACTCACCTAAACAACTCAAAAACTGATTTCCTGCAGACCAGAAATTCCTCTAAGGCACTTTTCATCCAGTCCTGTGCGCTTGTTCACACCCCACACAGATTCACACAAACACACATATTAATGATATATTTCACTATCGGAGTATCATTGCCTTCGGTTATCATCCATGCATATATTTTTTTATCTATATAAAATACCATGTGCTAGGTCGGGTTGTACATATCCTTGAAAGTATTACACAGTCTCCTTTGTATGTGTCATGAATCAAGCTTTGCACGTTTAAATAGAATTTAACTTTATCACCAGAAAATGAAAATCTTTTAAAGATGTAGGTAAAGTACATGTTATACCTAGGGACCAGTGAGCGTTTCTATTAATACTTTATCAGAATGGGTCTTGCTTTATTGGTTATTTGGGGAAGAATGATAAGCTGTTTAGTTCTAGTTTGAAAGCGATGTTAGGTGCCTTCTCACTATTCAGTAGCTCAAGTGCAAATCTGTAATATGAAAACAAGAGCAGCGTGTTGTGCTCTCCTTTTCAGACCCCTTTATTAATGCATCCACTTCAACGGAAGGCTAAGATGGAAAAATAGTTAATATGTATAGATCTTCACATTTAAATTAGGATTCAAGATGAAGAATTAAGGTGTTATGCGTCGATGAAGCTGTCGAGTCTTGATGTTTGGTAATCTTAACAGAATCGGACAGCTCTTTCTATGGTTTGGAGTTTGTGATGCATACTTTCCTCCCATTTCTGCTCGAAATTAATCCCCTTCTTTAAAAATCAATTGTCAACATTGTATTTTAAAAGACCATTTATAGGCAATTACTCTAAAAGACTTTAAACAGATCTCTTGAGTTCGCAAACATTGCCAAGTTTCATAGGGATGCATTTTAACAAGGAAGTATCCTGGCTTGCATGGTAACAAGTGGAGCTTTATTACTGGTACAGTACACATTATCCAAGGATTTAATCACGAAAGGGAAAGAAAGAAAGAAAGAAAGAAAGAAAGAAAGAAAGAAAGAAAGAAA